TGCAATACAGTCAATGAGCTTCCAGAAAAGAGTCAAAATCTGCGACCTATGCTTTTTGAAATGGCCAAGTTTCACAATTTTTCTAAAATTTTTTAGCAAACCTCAGAAGGAGTCCAAGTAATGGATGGATGGAGCAAACCCTACAGGAAACAGCACAACTTTTTTCTACTTTCCAGAGCTCGTCATAATTTTTGTACAGATTTTTTGATGGAACCACCGAATTTTAGCAGGCTCGTCTCAGACACAAGTGCATCAAACGCCAACAAGTCACCTGATTTTGAAATTTACAAAGATGGATTATGGTTTAGCAACAATTTTACAAACCAAACGAGCATTCACCGCTTCGATTTAGCAATTTTCGAAAATTTCGGGTACACCTTGGAGTGCCTTGGAAAAGTTGAATTATGATGATTTTATCCCGGAAAACTTGATGAATCGGAAACAAGAAACGACTGCTAGAAAGAGGAGAAAAAGCTGCATCGAATGACACCCGAGTCGCTTGCCGGTTTTGTTCTGTGAGGTTTGACTTGACTAAATATGGAATTTGATGGCATTGAGAAATTGATTGTAGAAAGTCTGAGAAGCAAGTTAAGGAAAAGAAAAATTACTCTGTGTTCTATAGTGTTTGCTCCATCTACCTGCCACTTGTGCTTTTTCGGAAATTAGGTACAAACATTTAGAAAAATTGCCGAACTTGACCATGGCAAAAAGCATGAGTAGCAGATTTTGGTGATTTTTCGAGAGCTCATTGAATAGTATGCAGTGAAATTAAAACCGTTAGAAGGAGGATGAAATGCTGCATCGAATGCTCCTAAGATCTCTTGAAAATGTTGATTCCACGAATAGTGGCGTTTATTCGAAAGAAGCGACATTACTTTCGGAACGACCTAATATAACCACTGCACAGATTTCAATAAATTCTCGAAAAATTATTAAAATCTGCGACCCATGCTTTTTGAGAAGGCCAAGTTTCACAATTTTTTCTCAATCTTTATAACAATCTTCGGAAGGAGTCCAAGTAAAGGATGGATAGAGCAAATCCTACAGAAAACAGCATAACTTTTTTCTACTTTCCACAGCTCGTCATAACTTTTTTGTAGATTTTTTGATGGAACCACCGAATCTTAGCAGGCTCGTCTTAGACACAAATGCATCAAACACCAATAAATTTTCGAATCTTGAAACTTAGAGAGATGGATTATGGTTTGACAATAATTTTACAAACGAAATGAGCTATTACCGCTTTAAATTAATAACTTTCGAAAATTCCGGGTATAGCCTGAGGCGCCCTGGAAAGCCTGAATTATGACGATTTTATCCCGGAAATCTTGATGAATCAGAAAGAAAAAAAAACCGGTAGAAAGAGGAGAAAAAGCTGCTTCGAATGACACCCGTGTTGCTTGCCGGTTGCTGCTCTATGGGGTTTGAGTTGACCAAATATGGAATTTGATAGAATTGAAAAATTGATTCCAGAAACTCTAAGAAGCAAGCTAAGGAAAAGAAAAAATTACTTTGCGTCTTATAGAGTTTGCTCTATCTACCAATCGCTTGTACTTCTTCGGAGAATAGGTACGAAAATTTAGAAAAATAGCCGAACTTGACCATAGTAAAAAGCAAGAATCGCAGATTTTGGTACTTTTTCGAGAGCTCATTGAATAGTATGCAGTGAAATTACAACCATTAGAAAGAGGATGAAATGCTGCATCAAATGCTTCTAAGATCTCTTGAAAATATAGATTCCATGAAGTGTGGCGTTCATTTGAAAAAGCGACATTACTTTTGGAACGACCTAATATTTTCTAGGTGCCCCATTTTTTACCGATCACCCTAATAACATTAGATAATCCCAGAAGTTCTTTTCGTATCTTTTATTCAGAAAACATGTGGATTAGGATGGGCAAACACTTCAAAAACTATTCGATTCTTTTACTTTTCTTAACAGAAATGTTCACAAACCTTTGCTTTTGTGATCACTAAATACCTGTCAAAAGTTCGAATGCATGGTGTTTGGTCACACCCATGTTTGGCTATTATTGAGTAATTTTTTTGTTTCTTTTTTGATCAGTCCTAAAACTAGTAGAGGCATGAAATTGCCTCATTCTTCCGTTGTCCGCACAAATCATATCATAATAAAATATGTATTGATACTGCAAAGGCTTTTGGAAATTTTAAACTGCGTCCCTCTACCACTGCCGCCTACGATGGCTTTCCTCCACAATCTATCGCAAATGCGCCAACGCGTCAGCTTCTCCCCTGTCGCTGACATTTAATGTTTACATGATGAACGGTGAAGTGCCTAAGTTTCGGAATGCAGTAACAGCAATACCTAATGAACGCAACAGTGTTCTCTCAAACTTCAGACTTATAAGTATCGCTGCTCCAGCAGGGAAAAATCTTGATTAATTTGCCAAAAAAAACTACTTGGCTGGTTAGAAAAACAACATCTTCCTTCCGTTTTAATGGCTTTGTTTTTGAGATTACCACTGCATTACTTTCAAATGTGTTGACTGGATCAGTGCTGTATACGAAAATACAGTAAAATACAGTGTTGTACTCTTTGACCTATTGAAAGCGTTTGACAGGATAAATAATCGATAATATTTTTAAGCCAAAACTTACGGAGGACAATTACTCGGCTTATTTGCATCTTACCTCCATGATAAGCGGATGACTTTCCACATCGGAACAAGCTTTTCAAGGCGATCTTCCTGCAAAAGAGGATTACTTCAGGGCGATACACTTTCGCCACTTCTATTTCTCACATACACCGCCAAACTATCTTCACTTCTTAACAGCCACCCAAACCAAAATACAGATTTTTGTTAACGACATCAACATTTACTTCTGTTATAAGGCTGAAGAACAACATGAAGATAATCTACAATCAATTCTTTTACGAAAAAAATGATTTTTTGCTCGTAGCAGTGAAATTTATTCGTTGAATTGTGCTTATCCGAACCCAGCCATGCTGAATTCGAAAATTTACGCTGGAAAGCGCGAAGGCGGCAAGAAACTGCTAATGTAGGAAAAAGTCAGGAAGTCGGCGGAGTCTTCCGAATACAATATTAGTTTTTAAAATCGTGCATTACTTTTATCGATTTTATCGATTTTTTTGCAAAGTTTGAGCTACGGGGCTGGGATTTGGAACAGGGGGGGGGGTAATCAAGCATGCTGATCACCCCCGTGGGGGTGATCAGCATGCTCGATTACACCCCTTGCCAAATTCCAGCCCCCTAGCTCAAATTTTGCAAAAAATCGATAAAATCGGCATCAATCGATAACGAAAAGTGGACTGTGACACCCGCCGGGGCCCGAAGTGTATGTGTGCCAAGTTTGGTTCGGATCGGTTAAGAAATGGAATTTTCTATTCGGAACATACGGCGGAGCCGGGTAAGCCAGCTAGTGTAATATAAAAATATGTGTGCTAATCAAGCAGCACATCAGTTCACATTTCAAAAAAAGACAACCACTGATGACAAGGAATTGAAAATTATAAACTTTGACTAGGAAAAATGATGAGAAAACACCATGGTCCCCTCCCCGGTCGACATTTCATAATTTCTCTACCAAGTGGAACACCCTTCACCCGGAGGGGCTGCCACCACTGTAACCCTACCCTGGAAGGGTCATTCTCACCTTATCGCACCTATGGTCATTACCACCTTACGCTTCCAGACTATCCACCCTGAGGTTACGTAGTCTCAGGTACAGACATGTGTGCGACGACCTAGTCTTCTGTTTTGCATTTTGCGATTGGAGACCTGGCTTGCACTAGTAGGTACTGGGTTTCAAGCCATGTCGTAGTTGAGCGGTAGGGTTTGCATTGGGATATCGTGAACTGGAAACCAAAGTCCTTTTTTTACTGCATTCAGCTTCGATTGTCGCACTGCTACATGGATAAGTCTATTAAAAACATAACTTTTTAAATTCTCTTTGGAAATTTGCAGAAAGTTGAGTTCTATCAATGTTCCAAAAGTTTTGAACATTTCGTTCTCAATGTGTGACATTTGCGTTGCCTGGCGACGCATCTTCCTCAACTTTCCTTAACATTTTTTAAATTTTGTGATGACTTTTTGAAACTGGCTTAACGATTTTGGCTATTTAATACAGATTTTCGAAATTTTTGCGTATTTTGCTTAACACTTAGCATCAGAAAGCTCTTTTTCCTCATGCCCCGTTGCACCCGTTTTCGGCAAAATTTAGATCGCTCCTCGTAAGGTAGCCGTTCGAGGACATCGACGACGAATAAGCCCTTTACCTGGAGATTCCCCCCGCCCCGCTTTTCCAGGGTTCCTGACGGATTGTTCCGTTCCAGTTTGAGTTGTCAGTCAAGCCTCGGTAATTGTGACGTCATCATGTTGCATAAGAACTCGGTAAAGCTAACCCTTTTATGAAGAGAAGGACATAAAAAACCCGAAGGACATAAAAACCCGGAGAACGATTATTGTTTTCCTTTTAAGCACACTACTTTTGTTGTTTTCAAATTTTGAAACAATGTGTATATAAATTGATAAATAAATAATGAATTAATACTTACCAAACCCAGCCAGATTGAAAATAGGCATTAGCATCAAAAATTCGCTTGAGGATTCCAGGCATCAGATGTAAAAAATGTTGTTATCGCTCGTTTCAGTATCGAATGGTCGTGTTTGCAAGTTGTATTCAATGTAAAACTAAACGTGAACGTTCAAATCTCTTAATTTGCATGCAAATTTTGCATAAACCATTTTGGAGCTAAGTGCTGTTAATTCCATGACTGTCCCATTTCAGCTTGCTTATGGCCTAATCATTTACCTTAAATCGTTAACTCCAGCAATGTACTCCGCAAAAATGAGTAACAAATTGATAAGCGGTTGTGCTGTTTTCGCTTACGTTCTCGTTTTGTTGTTCTTCTGCAAGACTCTACAACCCTCGTATCTGTTGAAGATTTAGCAGTGAGTCAACATTTAATTATACATTTTCATCAGCAAAAAAAAATTCAAGAGTTTGAATCTTTCAGTATGGATTGTTCTTGTCGGCACGGAAATGTAGTTTACGACTTCTGCTATCGCCTTCCGACAAACACGAGCGTTAAAGGGCGACGCTTTGATTGCAAATACATTGCACATTTACAAAACTTAGGTAAGTCATTGCTGCTTATCGATTCTGATATACTGACGGCTGAAAGCTCGCGCGTCTTTTGGGCAATCTACAAATTTGGAGAGCAAAAATAGGCAGACGCTTCAAGTATCCGACGCTGTGTTTTCGGGAATTCTTTTAGCAAGCACTTGACACCATGTTCAGCTGGTTCTTCGAAATCTTCATTTCCAATTCTACTATTATAGAGTGACCAAACTTCGCATTCGGTCTATCTAAATCTCGTAGAACATCAAAAAGATGAGTGAGTTAAATAACCACTTGATACAATACTCTTTTTCCTTTGTAAGCTGTTTTTTTTTGACAATTGCAAAATATCCACAAAAAATAGTTAAATATTGTGGAGTGCATACGTCGTGGTAGAGATTTAAGAATCGAGTTGCGAATCATTAAATTGAGAAGGATCTAAGCTATTAAATTATTATCAACTGTTAAAGACTCTATACTTAGAGCTCCTGTCAAACCGGAGCACCGTCGACCTTCAAAACCATTACATGCCTGCCCCCAGGTTTGTGACGGCGATATCAGGAAACCACTTTAAAGAAGGTCTCACTTTGGTAAGTTTGCTCAAAATATTTTTGTTTTTCACATACGTCAAGGAGTGTGTTCAATGGGTACAATTCCTTTTCCGCCACGCTCAAAACCAATTGCAGACGTTGGGTCAAACAGCTTGAGTCTCAACTGATCAAACAGTGGTTGCTGATGCTGCGGTTATGCAAAGTGCGTACTAGTACGCTTTTCCGTTACGTTGTCTGCAACCTTTTAAGCAGTATAGGTCATGTTTTTTGTAAGTTAAATGATCTCTTTTCTCTGACTGAACCTGGGCATTTGCAATGATCGTATTGGTATATGATATTATGCCAATGTCAGGTTTGTACGGTGTAATTCTTAATCGGTACGTTTCGACAAAATCGTTTTCGTCGGAGGCCTGAAAGTTGATTGCAGTGTCATCTGTGGGACCAGACCGCCAAACGCCTCTCCGCACTGCCGAGTCTAGACCACGCTCCGCTACCGGGGCATGTTGATGAGAAGACGAACCTTTATCCACCATAGTGTTATTGAGAGTTAGTAGAGTCAGTATTTAGTCGCACCGAAGAGACAGATTACACCGAGTCTTGTCTTATGATCGACCTTCATATATGAGCAGACTATCGTTCATAGATCGAAAGATAGGCAAGAGTTCAGCTGTTATTGACATGTGTTCGTTTTTGTTGTTCATGCTAGGTTTTCGAAAAGAATCCACGCTGCCTCAACGGTTTTCCTCACTGTAAACTCTGCCTCGTATAACAAAATAGTAATTAACGTCAAATTCACTGCCGTTGTGCGTTTCTATTCTGTGTCTTCCCAACGGTGACATTGCACTTGCTCGTCTTTCTGCCGCTGGATGCTGCTTGAGTCTAACATTCAGCGATCTACCCGTCTCTCCGATATATGCCTTGCAGTTCAAGCACTCCAACTCAACTCATACACTACTCCTGCCTTAGCGCAATCACGTACTTTTCCGTATGAGCAGACAATACATTGCTCTGATAGACATTCTGCGTCATAGAACTTGTTCTTTACCAACTGCTTCTCCATGTTCTCATTCGAAATGTTCATAAGCATAACATCATTTTGCAGTTGTGCTCGCTTTATACGTTCTTGATTGCTGCACTGAATTTATCAGAAATGAAAGGCATACACAAGCACTTCGTTATCATCCTGAGTGTGGCTACTGTTCGCGAAGTTGGAAGCGCAGCTTAAACGTTGCGGCAAGTAACCATTGCTAACTCGAATCGTTCTTGCTCACCCCTGTGCATACACTTATAACCGTTCGATACATATTGCGCACAATGGCACGTCTCACTGTCCGATAATAAGCTGCTGCATGCTGCACCTGTTGCATGCCAACTTAGCGCACCCAATCACAGTGAAACGAGCCGTTGTGCGCATTATGTACGAACTGCTATAAGTGTGTGCACAGGTGAGCAAAAACGACTCGAGTCCGTAAGCCTGGCTACAGAAATTGCGCATAGCGATGGTTATTTGCCACAACGTTCAAGCTACGCTTCCAACTTTGCGAACAGTAGCCACACTCAGGATGATAACGAAGTGCCCTGTATGCCATTCAATTCCGATAAATTCAGTGCAGCAATAAACAGTGTATAAGGCGAGCACAACTGCAATATGATGTTATGCTTGTGAACATTCCGAATGAGAACATCAAGAAGCAGTTGGTAAGGAACAGGCTCTATGACGCAGAATGTCTATCAGAGCAATGTATTGCCTGCCCATACGGAAAAGTAGGTGATTGCGCGAAAGCAGTAGTGTACGAATTAGAGTGCTTGAACTGCAAGGCAACATACAGTGTCCCAAAAGTATGTATTCACTGTTTGACCGTTAATATCTTTCTTTCAAAAAGTCTTTTGCCTAACATCAGGTATTCTTCATTACTGTAGGAGTACGGTAAAAACTTTCAATTCACAACTTCATTGCGGATTAACCATGTTTCAAAGAGAGCTTCCAAAAAGTCTAAAAAGCGGTGCACCGGGGTTTTCACGCCCGCTGACTTTATTACTCAAATTTTCACAAGTTTGCAAAGCTTCCGAATGATGGTATTACGATTTGAGGAGCATTGTGAAAACAGCTAATGCGGTTTATTTCGCATAATTTATGAAGGAAGTATTGCGATAAAGTACAAACACTGTATTTGGATTTATCGGGTTTAGTTGACCTAGTATAAAAGTTTTCAGGTTGTTTTGTTTGCTTTCTGAGGCGGACCAGAGCTCTCAATGGCTCAAAAACCTTCTTGAAGTTCTACAGTAATGAAGAGCGATTGGTGATTCGCTCTATACTGTAAAGTCGAAGCCACCTCACAAAACGGTGCCTGGAGGTAGGCAAAAGACTTCTTGGGAAAAGAGATGTTAACGATCAAACAGGGTATACATGCTTTTGGGACACCCTGTATACCGGAGAGACAGGTAGATTGCTAAATGTCAGAATCAAGGAGCGTGCAAAAAGACGAGGAAATCAATGTTACCGTTGGTAAGACACAGAATAGAAACGCACAACGGCAATGAATTTGACGTCAAGTGCACTATTTTGTTATACGAGGCAGAGTACAGTGAGGAAAACCGTTGCAGCAGCGTGGTCCCTTCGAAATCTTAGCATGAACAACAAAAACGAACACATGTCAATAACAGCTGAACTCTTGCCTATCTTCCGATCTATAAACGATAGTCTGCTCATATATAAGGGTCGATCATAAGACAAGACTCAGTGTAATCTGTCTCTTCGGTGCGACTAAATACTGACTCTACTAACTCTCAATAACACTATGGTGGATAAAGGTTCGTCTTCTCATCAACATGCCCCGGTAGCGGAGCGTGGTCTAGACTCGGCAGTGCGGAGAGGCGTTTGGCGGTCTAATTCCACAGAGATCACTGCAATCTATTTTCAGGCCTTTCACGAAAACATTTCGAAACCAAGGCCAAAAAAGAAATTCACCGTACAAACCTGGCACTGGCAATAAATCATATCACAACTAATAACATGCTTTTTGTTGCTATATTTATGTTGGAAGAATATATGCAGCACGTTTTTTGGAAATAGCGCTGCTTAACCGCAAGCCAAATGAATTCAACCGAGTAGGACGAGCAAATTCAACAGATCGCTTGATTTGTGAGAACTTTTGGTTTTTGCAATGAAGATCAAAGAACGTGACAAAAGAACTGCTAAATTATTTGCCCTCAGTCATTTGCAGAATCCACTCAGAGAACAATGAAAGTAATGGCTTTTACAAATCAATCTCGGACATGATGGCGCTACGATTTTTAGCTAGTCGCACGTGAGCAAACATGATAGTCCCATGCTAGGAACGATTTAAAGGGATAGTGAATGAAATGTAGAGTGCTTTGTGATCATAGAGATTAAATGACCTATTATTAGGTGGCTCCAAAATTTCTGTCGTTGTATTTTTAAAAATTTGTAACTTTGGGCTATTTCAACGCATTTGCTTGCCTGTAATTTTATCAGAAAAAATATTTCCTTTGCTTTTAAACGCTCTTTTGTCGAGCTTCTGTTTCACACCGGATGCGGGGATAAAAATGGAAAACTGAGACAATAAGCTTTGACCATTTTAGGTTAAGTCATCAAAAATTTGAAGCGCTGCAAAAAAAATTGAAATCTTCAATACGTACGTTTTTTGGATGTCTACTCTTTGCAACTGTAAAGAGCGTATGCTGTTTGGACGTCTCTGTGAGAAGTTATGATTTTTGAGAAAATGGCAAACCAGTTAATGTTGGCGTTTTCCATAGTAAACTCTAAATTTATAGACAATTTTACAGAGACGTCCAAGCAGCATATAACTCTTTATAAGTACAAAGGGTAAGCTAAAAAACATATGTACTGACAATATCAAATTTCTGCAGCGTTTCAGATTTTTGGTGACCTAACTTAAAATGGTCAAAGCTTATATGGTCTTAGTTTTCCATCTTTATCTCCGCATCCAGTGTGAAACAGAAGCTCGACAAAAAGCGTTTGGAAGCGAAAGACTTGTTTTTTCTGATAAAATTATAAGCAAGCAAATCCGTTGGTACATCACAAAATTACAAATTTTTTGAAAATAAAACGGCAGAACCTTCGGATTCACCTAATATAATATCGCGAAAGACGGCACTTTTTGTGCTACCCGACAGTCTTTTAAACAGTTTAAATTTCTGTTAATACACTTTTAGTTCAGTCCTCTCAAAACTCTGGGAGAGCTTTGAAAAGCTAAAAAGTTTGCGAAATTCTGCAGAAACTCACAGCTGCCTTCTTAGCATGTTGCTAACAGCTGATGTCCACAAGGAAAAGATACTTAATTGAAAGGGTTTTTTGAGTAGGATGTATACCATATGAATGCATGAAACGCTGATTCCAAATCTGCTTTTTTCATCTGCGGAACATATATAAACGAGGATTTTGAGCGCTCATTGAATGTAACAAGTTGGACAATAACATTCGTAATATTTTTTTTTCTAACGCTTTCACTTCACGGATAAGGAAGGCAAATCTGAATTTAGCGTTTTTGCTCAACAACGTCATACAAATCACGTCAAAAAACCACTTCAATCAAGCACGCCTCCTTTGTCTTAGGACTCATTAGACATACTAGGTAAGATTCGTAGTCCTCCTTGTTTTGCAAAAAATCACGACATACTTTTTGAGATAAGATATACAAGAGTTTAGAAGTGATGAAGCGGAAAACAAGGAAAAGTGGTTTTTAAGGGGTAGCAAACCACGAAAGACAAAGAAGTTTGACCACTTTTATTTTGCTGAAGCATATATGCACAGAAAATCACGAATTATGTAGGAGAGAAAAAAAGAGAATTACATGTTTTGTCCATGCTAGCCCAGCTCAGCTGGTAAGATGCTGTAAATGCCAGAACTGATTGTAAAAAAGTTGAAGAAGGCTTTCATTCACATTACCTTTTCATAGCTTCTTGCACACATTCTTGTCCCCGTCGTACTAAAACAGACAAAACTTAGTGTCATGTTATTGCATGTAAAGGCATCGTCCACTCGCAATCAGATTCTCGACCGTTTTTGTCTTTTTAGGGCCTTCTCATGTCCCTGATTCGTGAAGTCGAAAATCGGCGAACTCCGGCAATATCCGTTCGGAGATCACAGAACTGCTTTCCGGACGGTGATTGGT